TGCCAACCTTGTTGTATGTGCTGGGGCATTATTATCAATTTTCTTGTTCCAATCACAATTGAAATCACCCACCAAGATAGTTTCTTTATTTTCAGAGTCCATTTTCATAATACACTCTTCATACAGATCAAAACACTCCATAGTGGAGTTTGGTGGAGTGGTATCAAAAATACACACTATATTTATAAAGTATACTGAAACTTTTAGCCGCCGGCGTCGACTGCAATTACAGAATAAAATAACATTTGAAGTTTTTTCTTTGTCTGTGAAGATTTTGTACTGTTTTAATCGTTTGAAACTTCGATTTTAAACCGTTACTTAATTGCTGGCATGGTATAATGCAGCAAAATTGAACGGGCAATGTTTACACTAGCTTTGTGATTATTTTTGTATTGAATGATGGAAACTTTAAGACTGATTTGAGTTTTGTGTCATTTCATAATATAAGTTTAGGTCAGGTTAACTCAGGAAATTGTGTACTTGGTTTGAAATAGCGAGGGGTTGCTGCATGCATGCATGTATTTCTAGTTGTAGGAACTAATTGTGCGTTCGATCAGATGTTGCGGGAACGCGTTGCGTTGAAGCGTGTTGGTGAGTTCTTTTAGATCGTTATTGAGGCCAACTTCGGTGTTATTGATTTTATAGATGCGATCTATGAGTGTTTTAATGAGACCCGATTTGTACCGAAATGACGTAAAGCTAAAAAAGTTTGTCAAAAGGCCGGTGGAAGTTTTCTTGTGATAAACGGAGTTCGAAAACGTAGTAGAAGATTTCTTAATAAGTATATCAAGGAAAGAAATTTTGCTATCTTGTTCCGTTTCAAAAGTGAACCTAATATCATTATGGCGAGAATTGAGATAATCAAAAAAGAGTCTAGCATCAGTTTCATTTTCAAACATGCAAAACGTGTCATCAACATAATGTCGGTAGAAAGAGGTTTGTTTCCGCTGTAGTTGTTAATCCATATAGTTTATCACAAGAAAACTTACACCGGCCTTTTGACCAACTTTTTTAGCTTTACGTCATTTCGGTACAAATCGGGTCTCATCAAAACACTCATAGATCGCATCTATAAAATCAATAACACCGAAGTTGGCTTCAATAACGATCTAAAAGAACTCACCAACACGCTTCAACGCAACGCGTTCCCGCAACATCTGATCGAACGCACAATTAGTTCCTACAATAACAGACAAAACTCACAAACTACTAACACTCTGAACACCAATTTGCATGATCAACAACAACCCAACGTTCATTATTTCAAACTCCCATACATAGGACACTACTCTCAAATTACAGAACAGAAACTTCTCAACATTGCCAAACGATTCTGCAGTGACATAAACCTAAAACTGGTGTTCACTTCTTATAAAATAAAAAAACATTTTCAACTTTAAAGACGCAATCCCCAGTGATCTAAAATCCCTTGTGGTATACAAATTTACTTGCGCAGGATGTAATTCCTGTTATATTGGTGAAACCACCAGACATCTCGCCACAAAGATCAAAGAACACACCTCCACTGACAAAAATTCACACGTCTACAAACGCCTACAAAACCCTAACTGCAAATCTAAATACACCCGATCCTGCTTTTCTATCTTAGACACTGCTAAAACTTCCTTCTCTCTCAAACTCAAAGAGGCTCTTTATATTCGTAAACACAAAACAGACTTTAACAAACAGGTTCAGCATTTTAATACTATCTTCCAGCTATAAATAATTTTTGTTGTTGTTATGTTCTGCCTTTTGTGTTGTCTCACTTAGTATGCATATTCTGTATCCTGTTATGTTGTCAATCATTTTTGTAAATAATCTAGTTATTCATTGAGTATCACCTCGCATGTATATATCATATTTCTATTTTATATAATTCACAATGTAAATAATCTATTCAATCGCACTGAAGATGGCTTATAGTTAAGTCGAAACATGTTTGCCTTAAAAAATTTTGTCGCTTATTTGAAATGCGTAGATTACAAAGATATTTACAATAGTTATAAAATGCAATAAAACTAAGGAGAAGTTAATATATAAAGGTGTTAATCGTGCGAAGTGGCCAAAGTAGCTAAATGCTTTCGAGTTGGTCACTGCCTACATTTAATTACTATTAAAAATTTCAGACCGGAGGTATTTAAATATATAATTAAATCTCTACATAAGTAGAAATTACCATTTAATCTATTTACACTTGTGTTTGTGAAATAAGCAAAGATTGACTATATGCTTTCTTAAATAAAGAAATTGATTTGGATTGTTTATTTCTATTATCGATGGACTCCCAGAGTTTAGACGCAGTGAATAGAAATGTTTGTGTTCCATAATTAGTTCGCGCATTTGGTCTGGAAAAGTTACATCGTGCAGCAAATCTGGTATTGTATGAGTGTTGGGATGCTGCAAGAGTAATAGTGTCCGAAAATATTATAGGTAATTTAGCTTTTTCGTTTAAAACTTTATAAGTGAATAAAGCTAATTTGAGTTTGAAAACGCTATCTAATTTTAGAATACTTAATAGGCTGTAATACGGTGAAGCATTCTCTCTTTTGCCTGCAAAGAATATGCTTCTAATGCATTTATTTTGACATGTTCTCAATTTCTTCAGTTTTGAGGTATAAGCATTTCCCCAACTCATGAAGCCATAATAAATTATTAATATAGGGATAGATGACAGTAAAATAGAGTTGTTTTAGCATCTTTAAATCAATATAATATCTAAGTTTATTAATAATTCCAGTATTCTTGCAAATTTTATTATTCACATGGCTAATCTGTTGATCCCATGTTAGATTTTTATCAATATATATATACCTAAATATTTAATATGGTTTTTCTGTTTAATGTTTCTGATGAGTTGTATTTTGCGTTCACGTCTCTTACTAGAAGTTATTACCATGAAATTAGTTTTATTTATATCAACTGATAATTTATTAGCATCGCAGTATTGAAATATATGATTTAGTTCTTCATTCATCACTTTTTCAACATCATCAATGCTCGTGCTTGAGTAGAATACATTGGAGTCATCGGCAAAAATTCATATTTAAGTTATCAGATTCTGTGTTTCCTATTTTGACATAATGTTGTCTATTATTTAAATAATTACTGAACCATGTCAAGGGAGTACCACGTATGCCATATTTATATAGTTTCGATAAAAGAATTTTGTAATCAACCGTATCAAATGCTTTAGAAAAGTCTAAAAACAAACCACGGGTTATTTTCTTATCATCAATTGCTAACTTTATTCTATCTGTAATTTCCAGAATGGCTTGCTCTGTGGAATAGCCTTTTCTAAATCCAAATTGATAATTAAAAATTGGTTTGTTTTTAGTGAGAAAACCTTCTAGCTGTTCATATATTAAACATTCTAGCACCTTTGCAAATGGTGATAGTATCGATATTGGTCGATAATTGTTTGGGTCAGTTTCTATGCCGTTCTTGTAAATTGGTGTAATACGCGAGATTTTTAGAACATTTGGGACAACACCAGTATTTATTGATTCATTATAAATTGAAGTGAAAATTGGGGCTATAATAGATGATGAGATTTTAATAATGGTATTAGGGATGCTGATGGAAGACTTATTTCCATCGAGTGAGAGAAACAATTGTCTTACTTGTGATTCAGTCACAGATGACATGACAAAACTTGTAGTCACGATAGTACCGCTTTTCATGTAGTCTCTTGCAAGGTACATTGATAATACTAAATACAGGTAGGTGATCTGATATATCGAGTACGGCAATTCCAGATTTAACTTGAGATATAGACTTGTTATTATAAATATGATCGATTAGTGTTTTAGTGTGATCAGTTAATCTAGTAGGCTTAGTAATAATAGGAATAAAGTTATTTGTGTCTAACATATCTAAATAATTTTCCGTGGCTTGATGGGTAACAAAAACGTAGAAAATCAATATTGATATCGCCTAATGTTATAACTTGATGTTTGAGCTGATTAAGATGCCTTAGTAATTAATTCATCAAGACGTTCAATGTAAGCCTGAGTATTTGATCGAGGATGCCTGTAAATACAGCTTATAATAATATTCTTGTTAATACCACAAGTATTGTTGGATTCAATCTCAATCCAACAAGATTCCACACCATCTAAAGACAGTTTGATATCCGGTCTAGCAATCGATTTTAGGTTTTGTTTAACATATATTCCTGCATCTCCCGCATTAGTTGGCGAGTCAACGTGGTAAAAACTGCAACCAAGGATATCAACATTAGTTACAGTGTTTTCATTCAATTTTGTCTCGGTGACTGCTGAAATATCCGGTTTGGAAGAAATAGAGTATATCAAGTCATGTAATAAAGTAAGATTTTCAATATAAGAGACTTCTTATATTGCAGTGGAAAACTGAGAGTGCCTTAGGACCTACTGTATTCAATATATTATTGATTTTATCAAGCAAGTAATAATCTGAAACTAGATTAGTCAACATGTTATCGGGGTCATTTTCATCCAATTTATCTGAATTTGGAAGTATATTAAACAAATCCATATCTGCGTCTAATTCTCTAGTTCAACAATTAAACAAAGAATTAAATTCCCTATCACTCAGATTAACAAAGGGTAGTTGTTGTTGTAGGTAATTACAATCGAGTTCATTCATGGAGAACATTTGATCTTATTACGATATGCGCGCGCATTCACGCGTGCATTCACGCGTGCAGTCACAAGATATGTTAAATTATTATGCACTATTCGAACTGTCCCAAGAAAATTTCAAACTGATGTATGCTATTAAACTCATAGGCCTTAGTGTTTTCAGATTCCCTTAAATAAATCTTTCCGGTCATCGTCAAAACGTATTTCCATTTATTCCTGCGCTTAAAATCGTTTACTTTACCAAGAAGTCTTTTTCTATTAAAAGTCAGGGTCTCGATATATATATATATATATATATATATATATATATATATATATATATATATATATATATATATATATATGTATGGATCGGGCCTTTAAATTGCCTTTACGCACCTTTTCCTCTTCTGCAAGAGTCTTCCATGTTTCGTTGCTTCTGAAATTTAGAGTTTGACTATCTTTCTGAAATGCCAGCAATCCAGTGACTGCCGGAATGTCCTGCAAGTTTTCTGCGACAACCACCTGAAAAATTACATCATGTTGTTCAGATCTAGAGAAGAACTAATTAATTAAGTACGACGCATTGGGGATTGGGACGATTTGCCTTGATAACAACGAACAAGCAAGAATTAAAAAGTTTCGCACATCTTTGTTATTACGTGGGCTAATAATGTGTGTTACATGCAGCTTCATATTTAGCGGGATAAGGTATTATTCGAAAAAGATTCAGAAAACTGCCAGAAACTACCGTAAATATCTTCAGAATACAGCTCTGCGCGCCGCAAAATTTTTCAGTTTTAACGCAAAAACCATGCATGTGAACGCAGTTTTTTTAAGAATTAATTGTGAGCTATTCAAACACACCAAGGTGTGTGACAACGAAATCTGCCAGTAACATAAGTATAATGTTGAAACATATTGCGCGAGGCTAGTCGTCTCGCTTATTACGATCTTTTACACTATTCAATACATCTGTCATTTCAATTTTAGATTTGTCAAATGTTTTGTGATCTAATTTTGTGAAGAGGTCAACATTATCTGATCATGATATGTCTTCCAACGTTGCCGGACCTATTCCTAACCTCCCCTCAAAAGTAGGTTCGAGACCATCACGATTCAATCAAAGGATAAAAATCTGCTAAGTTCCTACCGGCAGTAAATTCAATCGGTCATTGAGAACACGTGATTGTTCTAATTCTGAACTAATGAGGAGACTGAGAACTAACGTCATCGCTATGTATTTTCTGAACAATTCGGGTCTCTGTTCGCAACTCTCTCTCTCTTTTTGACAAGATGTATGGGACGAAATTGGGGAAGTCCATTAGCCCTTCCCGTTTAACAAATTATGTTACTTATTATAGCAATGTGTAGCAGCTAGTGCATATAAACTGCTTACTGAAACACAGCAGTGCGTAGTGATAAGTAACTAACAAACAAACCACTTGGCCCACGGCACGTGACTTGCTCATGTGCGATTACTCAGGGAACAAATTAAAAAACACAGTGAAAATAAAATTTCAGTAACCACCGTCAACTTATGGATCGAAAGCTTACCATAACCCCTTTCAGTTATTAGAACCCCTTCATACATTTAACAATTTGAAAATGTGGGGAGTAGGAGGGTTCCTGGCATCCTTCCTGAAAGCATTTTCGCAAGTCGCGGTGACCTGATTTCCGGCTGAATTATAGGACACTAATTCATGTGGCAGGGTTTGTTGAGAGATGATTATTAGCTACTTTCTTCTGACTCTGAACACCGTCAGTAGGCTAAGAATTATTTACACTACAAGCGGGCGAGGTGAGGGGTCTTCTGTCTCCCAGTTATATAATTTTATATAAAGGCCGTGAGAACGATCAATAAATTGCGAATGTATTATTGACGAAAAAATGCCTCATGCAGATACACTTACCCCATCATTTATCAATGGTTCGCTTCTTCCGCACCTTTCCTAAACAGATCAAAGTGTTAATTATATCAAAGGTTTAATTTTAGATTTTTCTAGATATATAAGTCACAATGCTTTAAAATTCGCAATTTTTCAACTGCTATATATTGCTAAGACTTACCTTGACAGGAATATTCCTATCTCCTTCCAATTTATACCAGGCACTATCACCACTCTCGTCTTCACTTCTATACTCCATACATTTCTCCCAAACTTTGCGAGGAGGATTTAATCTGACCCAGAACCAAGCTGATGCATGTTTTGTTATTGTACCACCATTTGTTGCCTCACATTCTTCAAGACAGTAAACATCTCTTCCACCACGTGGTCCATAACATGCACAACACTGAAATACCGTGTACCACAAAAAATTATCCTTGAGTTTTTAATCGAGTAGACGGGTTTTTAAAGGAGACGAAAGTCGTACACTTAGAAAGTTCTTTAAATCAATTGGCAAAAGTAGTGATCCTCATTATAACGGTGGATAAAATCACATGACTTCACTAAGCCTGACTCGTTCGCTACGCTTTGGCAAAACTCGCCCCACCTCTTAAACTAAATTTGGGGATTTGAATAAAAAGAATCTTACCTTTCCTTTATCGCAACCAAAAAATGCAGTTGAACCACTACTGCTGCTGTTTGCCTTGCTGACGTAACTGAAAATTAAAGTTTATTAATAGTTCAGTCCGCAGCTGAAAAGACCTGCAACTTTGAGGCTTGATCATCTACACATTTCCCAACAATTATGATTTTTGCCACTTCACTAGATGAAGGTAAATTCTGGAGGTTGGAACGGTCTTAATTTCGAGTGGAATTATACACACTTTAAACACATTTGAAGTGTGTATAATTCCATTTCGAATTAAGACTCTTTCAACCTCTAGCATTTCCCAACATATTTAGATCATGCTTACCTGAATCCCCCAGAGAAATGAACCTGAACTGGAAATAACCAATGATAAGCAAAACCATATGGACATGGTTGTTCCAAACAAAGATTCATCATTGTCTGTGAAAATGTTAAGATAACATGTAAAATGACGTGGAATTCGGATATAACACGCATGTTGTTTTAAAAAGGATTTATACAAGTCACTTTGCTATTAAACCTTGAAAATTTTAAATTTTGTATTAATTCCGGTAATTGTCAGTTTTCTCTTTGTATGGTAAAATGTCGTGCTTCCAAATTTCTTTTCCGTTGTTATATTATATAACGCATTTGCAGTTGCATGAGATAAGAATTTTATTTGTAGATTTTTCACGATTTAAATTTCATACATCTCGTTTTATATTAATTTGAAGAAGCTGCTAACACAGGAATCGGAGCCTCCTTTTTAGTTATGGGAGCGACAAATTCGGCCTAACTAACGTGGATACCCTTGAAAACATTTTAGCTCTAGATGACAAAAGCAATATCATCGCACAGAGGATTGGATCGGAGCGGAGAAATGTTTCAAATTGAGAGATCATTGGAAATTCGTCAATTTCGAGGATAATTAATAACCTCATCAGCTTGACAGCGCAATTTTCTAGCTACATTATTGTTCATGTTTCCAACCTTAATTTTCTACAACTTTAATTGATTCTCAAATTGTCCTTTAATATTTGGCCCGACTTGGATAAATATATGATATTATTTTTCTTGTTGAACTTGTCCCCTTTGGGAGAGTTTTTACTGTTTGGAATTAATTGATACTAAATTATCTCACCCAGCCAACTTTTGCAGAAGGAAAAGAATACGGTCCAAATATTGAGCAAGAGAAATCTTTCGAAACAATTTCACCCGTCATCAAATCTTTGACATAAGACACATCTCCAACACCAGGGAAATTGTTTGGACATCCTCCTTGATCGACGATCATCAAATTCTTTAAGACACGTTTATTCTTAAATCGAAATGCCCTGAAATGAACAACAGTTTTATCTCCAAACATTGATCTACAAAATACACTTATATATATAAATTATATAAATCAAATGTTTTATTCATATCCCTATAATTTTATATTGTCGATATTTTATTCCGATGCCTGGTCACCATTTTGGAGATTATTTCTCTGAAAAATATGTATTATATAGCTGCATTAAATTAAAACACAGGTTGCTCCACGCTTTCGAATAAGCTAATTACCAGTGAGCCTTCGTCTTTTCCATGTCATCATCCGAAGCAACTTGAATTCTGAAATCCAAAACTGAAACATCGCCAAACTCACTGGACCAGTGTGGATCACCAAATGGTTGAACAGTTTCATTATTTGATGGGACGCCCCATGTAACAGTGCCATTTATGTAACCAAACAATATATACCCACCACCATCTGTTGTCATGTCACAATAAACCTGGATTGGAAAGGATACATGTAGTTAAAACTATATATACAGGGTGTATCAAAAAAAATGTCCGAAATGTAAAATTTCCGTTTTTCAGGATATTTTGCAGAATTTGGCAAATTTTTGTGTTCCTAGAGATAGATAAGACTTATCTGGTATACCTAGGCCAAGTTTGGTTTTTCATTAACAAAATTATGTTACCGGGGGGGTGGTTCCTTTCCACTGATATTGAGAGGGCTTGCGCGCGAAAATGTAAAGCTGAAATTGAGGTATTATTTAGCTGTCTAAAAGTAGGAAAGCTTTTTAATAAACTGTCAAAGTTTCAGGAAAAATAATGCAAACTGGGAGCAACGCGCGACCCCTAAAGGTGCCGAATATTTCATTGCGCGCAGTGGATTAAATGCATCGTTGATTTTAGCGTGACCGATCTCATGTAAGGCTGGGCAAATGAATGAATTAAAGTGAGAAACTGAACACAAAAACAAAGCGATTTATTGGTGATGTTAATCCTCAGCATGTCCACCATTTCATTCTAAGCAAACTGCGGCTTGTCTGAGCATACTAAACACTGAACAGCGAACCATTTGTCTGTCCATTCGCCTAGATTTGCCGGCGGTAGAGTAGGCGATTTGCAAGAAAGAATTTCGAACGAAATGGATAATAGGAGGCAGGACAGACAAATGTGGTTCGCCGTTCAGTGTTTACCATGCTCAGACGAGCCGCAGTTTGCTTAGAAAGAAATGGTGGAAATGTTGAGGATTAACATCAAGAATAAAAATCTTGTTATTAAATCGCTTCGTCTTCTTGTTCAGTTTCTCGCTTTAATTTATTCATTTGCCCAGCCTTGCATGAGATCGGTCACGCTAAAATCAACCATGCATTTAATCCACTGCGCGCAATGAAATATTTGTCACTTTCAGGGATCGCGCGTTGCTCCCAGTTTGCAATATTTTTCCTGAAACTTTGACAGTTTATTAAAAAGCTTTCCTACTTTTAGACAGCTAAGTAATATCTCAATTTCAGCTTCACATTTTCGCGCGCAAGCCCTCTCAATATCAGTAGAAAGGAACCACCCCCCCGGTGACGTAATCTTTTTAATGAAGAACCAAACTTGGCCTAGGTATACCAGATAAGTCTTAACTATCTCTAGGAACACAAAAATTTGCCAAATTCTGCAAAATATCCTGAAAAACGGAAATTTTACATTTGGGACATTTTTTTTGATACACCCTGTAGTATGGGAAACAAATTGTTATAGAAGTATACTTGATGGGAGTTGTTAGTGTGAATCGTTTTAATCAGTGTATAAGTTCATGCATAAAAGGTTTGCAAAGGTTGGGCGAAGGGCGTCAGATCTTTTGTTTGTCAACCTTATGACCACGAAAAGTTAAGCCGAGTTACCTTTTTTGGTATTCCTGCATTGAAATTCACCCAATAATATCCATCTTTCGATTTTGGGTTCTTGTTCAATATATCCAGGCAGTCGTAACCAGGATTAAAAAATTATCCGGGCGGTTTGGAGTCTATTAGAAATATTTTGAAACTGGAAAATTTTATCACGGGTAAAAATAAAGTAATTGAATTGCATTTCAATAAATCGACACTCACGGTAACAACAGTAACGTTTTATACTTTGCAGTTTGTTTTACTTACTGTCAGTCGTCTTCCAACTAAAAACTTCATCATCTTCAGTACAAACTAATATGGTATCTTTGTTCTCTCGATCTTTTACCAATATGAGTTCGCCATGATTTGATTTTGAACAATTTCCTGGATCATGATTTTTTCGGACTGTCAACATCTGTAAAAAATTATTGGGCCTTTGAAATAAAAAACTATTGTATAGTTTTCTTCTTGTTATTGCAATATGTTTTTGAGATATTTACAGTGATTTCGTTAACGGTTAAATACAGAGACGCCATCTGAAATATTAGAGTATTCATTGGTGTTGTACACGATATTTCAACATTCATTTACTTTTATATCGGGTCTTTCCATTGGTTCTCTCCCATTAAGACTTAAGTCGCTAATTATAAAATTCTATACTTTCCTTAAACACAAAAAAAAATACCTTAGCGTTGAACAAAGAAAGCAAGACCAGTGCTGCAGTAACAATCGCAATTTTATGCATCTGAAAAGAAGTTATTGCATATAAGCATTGTAAAATATTTCAGCTTGATGATTTGCTAATTACTCGCCCAATTTCAAACTGTCCAAATGTTCGTGCTATATATATCAAAATATGACCTGTTACCAACTTAAGAGCCTGAAGAGACAGCAAAGTCACGTGTGTGACCAGAAAATCACCCTATATCATCAAGTTTACATTTGCTTCTGTTATGGAAAATTCGAAGAAATAGCGTAGCGATTCTAAATTACATTCATACTAAGTACCCTAATAGCTACATATTTTATTCAAACTGGCAGCTAAAGAATGTCTGAAGTTTCTTAATATGTTAAACCCTTGTCGCGCTTCTATTATTTTTTAACTATATTCAGTGTGTATTTGTTCGCACTTCATTTGCTGTATATTAGTATTACACTTTTTTCAACTCACACCGTCTGTAAAATTGTAATTCACAGCAGTCAATCAAATTTAAGTAGTCAGTTCTCATTTTTCTCATACTTCAATGACATTGAGTTTCAGGGCTGGTTTTCATTTAGTCATAATTGTTCGCAAACATGTCAAGATGGCTGATTTATTAGAATGCTGCAGTGCAGTCAACAATATTACAAGTTTCACACAGAGAATGACACGCATATCGAACGATTTTCCTCAACAGTATTTCGTTTAAAATGACCTGTTCAGGACAATTACGACTGAATCAAACCTAGTATGAAAACTAAATGAAAATTCCATCGCGCGGCGAAATACTAAAAGTCAGACTACTTGACCTCGCTTCAGTTTCGTAAACAATCCTTTGGTATTCTCCTCTTCAAGTCGGGGATTTAGGTGACCAATTTTTATTTGTTTTGGGAAAGAATTACCAATCAAGAGTTCTGTTTATTATACATTTTTTTGCGAGCGAGAGAGTGGTGAAATTTAATACATTTTGCAGTAAATCTAGATATGTTTTAGTTATATATTAGTTTGTCAATGCATGGTGGAACCTTTAGCCTGGAAAAAATTATTACAATTAATGGAGATGGCTATTGTTAATGATTTCCCGGGTTACGTTCGTTAGTTTATTATTACATGAATAAATTTGCTTCAGAAAAACAGCCAGACATTGTCGATCGTCTATCGTTGGTGACATATGACTTATATGATATGAGAGCAAAGCTTTAGTTTGATATCTTTGTTAACAAAATCAAATTTACCTTCACTTCTTTAAGCAGAACGAAAATGATCGAAAACACCAAAGATTCGAAGTAAAAACAAAATGAAGTGACCAGTGCAATGCTTTTGAATACTGTGTTTTGAAATTCTATATATGTGCGTCATTGCAGACAGAAATTTAAAACTCTTCTACTCGCCAATCTCGTCATTAAAACAATCACCGACGACGAGTGATTAATTCAGTCATCACATTGCAACACGGGATTAATTTATTCACATTGATTGAACTTTTGTCCGTCAATACGAAAACGTGGTTAATAATAAGATTAAGCTTATGCATGTATTATATAACGACTGAAAGAGTTGACAATATTAAACGGATGTCTTCTAATTCTATACAACATTAACGCTGCAGGTTTTACGCGGAAAAGATTTAAAAAGGATTTATCAAATAATTTGACTTCCACTTAAATCTGTTCCTCGTATAGTATGAATGTATGGTATTATTTTTGCAGTTTTAGTGTTGGTTATATAAAGATATATAAAATGATTACCTGCATTCTGAATGCGTTTGCATGGTGATGGCAGTAAAATCGTAGTTGCTATTGAATACATTATAGATAAAAATCTCTGGGCAGAATTACCCCTCCTAAAATTATCAGTCCATGAATTCTTCGATTAAAATGGCAGAAATGATGGACTGAAGTCATTACGCACGCGAAATATTCCTCAATATTGTGGTATTACAATACGAATCACGGAGGAGTGAACACATTTACATATTTTATACATTAACATATTTTTGTGTTATGTTTATAGCCTGGCGAACTCGCTGAGAAGTTGATTTAATAAAATGTTGGACGGCATAAAGAAAATGCCGTTTTACCGAGCAACATTTACATTTGTATTAGCTCTGCTTAAAAAATCCTATATTTTCATCATATTTGAGAGATAATTACTTTTACATATTTTTACATGGATCAATATGAGATTGATGCACAGATACAAACTTAAGAAACTTACCGTTGCCCTCTTCAAGGGTACACTCTATGTGTGCGTCGCGACCTCTGGTTGATATTCCTCGACCTCCAGTTGGCTTCCTCTAAAGTCTAAATATTTTTGGTATAGGTCTAGGTTTATTAATTAATGTTGTCTGACAAAGTTTAAGCGACATGACATGGCCATTTTGAATACGAATTCTATTAACTGTGACTAACCGCTGATAGACATCGGGCGCATGTCCGCTTTTTTTGATGTGTGTTATAATGCACCATCAATGTAATGCACAGGAATGGTTGATTGGCTCAGTTGGATGAGCTGCAAACGTAAGAAGTTCTTATGGTGTCCGAAAAGGGCCGCCTAGTGGGGGAGGGGAGAAAGGGACATTTTGCTCCTGGCCCACAATCTGAAGGGACCCTGAACTTAAGAATGAGCCTAAAATAATTAAAAAACCTTAAAAATGTATGGCTCAGTGTATTATTCACAAACTGGTAGAAAGTACGATCGAGTGACAGTCATTGTTATTTTATTTCTATGATACGATGATATTGTCAAGTTGTCCAGCGTTAGGAGGTGAAATGTTACTTGAACTGAGAGGCTTTTAATGTCAGTTCGTGTACCAATAGTTGCTTTCTCAAATGATTAAAAACAATATTCACGTCCCAAATAGACTTGAATCTTGAAGGGCGGTCGAACTTCGAAAATAACCTCCATGAACTACAGGGTCTTGGCCAAATGGGATTGTATTTGTTTAAGTTTGAGTAAATTGCTGACAGGGCAATGCGTGTACAGTTCATTGGACATAAGACAAACTGGAATTTTCTGTGTTGCAAATATAAAAGTGGTGTAATGAGAGTTGAGAGGATAATGAAAGGGGTTGTTTCGGTAGGTTTCGGTAATATCAATTACCAGGATGCTGGTGGCCTATTCCTGTATAATTTTTTGAAATACTTACGATTCAAGGTTACCTTATTTGAGATTCACGCTAATGGCAGAGCTTTTGAACTCGCAGGCAGCCGATATTCAACAGTTAAATAAAAACATATTTCTGAAGCGTTGTTGGAAAATTTAGACCAATAATTTGTGAAAGTCTTCGGCACTATTTTTTTAATGCTGTAGCGTGATAATCCATGACCAGAGCATTGAGAGGGTAGGAAAGGTGAATTTTGGGGAAGACGCAGGTTGCATCACCTAAACTATAAATAATCTAAAAACGTTTTCTGAGGGACATATACTTCTAAAAACAGCTTTTAGCTATTCTTATAGCCCTTGCAACCCTTGGTCCCGTGGAAAACGTTCCCTTTGACCCCCTGACGTTCCCATCACATTACAATTTTCTTGGGAGAAGCTTCATCTGGTTGCATCGCAGGGGTACTTATTGGGCATCACGCTTTGATTCATAAGAGCTCGCGTTATTTATTTTGCTCCGATAGCTTATTATAAGCTTTAAAAGCACTTATTTTTATTTATGGGGCCTCGCTTTTTGGAGTGACGTTATTTGATTATGTGGCTATCAGGCACCACGCATGCGCAGTGACAAAACAACTGCCCAGGTCCAAATCTTGGTCAACACAATCTTCAGTAACATGGTTATGATGTACTAGTGCTATCGATAAGTTTGCTTTCAAGACAGTACAGAAACGGGATCCATAGACCTCCGACATTCCAAACAGACACATGCCCTAAAGATTATCATTTATATTATATTAATTTCTATATTAATTATTCAAAAAACTGCAGACGCAGCTCCTTGGGTGTATATTGGAGAGCTTAAGCATGCGACGTTTTTGTCAACACGGACGTCACGCGTACAAAATTTTGGCGTTATAGATAGCGTCAGCCGTTTTTGTTTAAAATCAGAAACCGCAGTCCGTGCAGTTTCCCGTCGTAGATTTTAAGCAAGAACGGCTGACGCCATTTTTAGCCGTTAAATTTTGTACGCGTGACGTCCGTGTTGACAAAAACGTCGCATGCTTAAGCTCTCTATTGCTAAATCGGCAACGCGGCGAAATTGGCAAGGCTTTCGGTGAGCAGCAATTGAAAATTCATATAAACACAAATTTCTCCGGTGTATGGTAAAAGTGATGTAACATAGAAATATATTTGTTCACCGACATACAGATACAAACAAATTAGCAATTATCCGATTCCGTATTTGAAAATACGTTGACATTTCATATACGACATAGGTCTATAGAGCGCACAGTGCCAACCAAAAATCTGAGAAAATTATTTAGTGCCCTAGGTTATCTTCTCAGTATCGTATTACTCCATACATATCGTAATCCTGTAACGCTGATTGACATCGATTTTATTCTAGGGCTGAATTTCATCTTGCCTTTTCGTGTGGAAATACCGAATTTTTTTATGTATCTATCTCATTTTATCGGTTTCTAGATTTACAGCGACCTTAACCCACGATTTGGCAGGCATCTTTCAACACAGTACACATTATCATTTATATTATATTAATTTCTATATTAATTATTGAAAAAAGTTCAGACGCAGCTCCTTGGATGTATATTGGTAAATGGACACAGCGGTGGAAATTGGTAAGACTTTTGAAGAGAATGAATTGAAACTTCATATATAAAAAAAAACTTAGTGTATGGTGAATGTGATGTAACATAGAAATATATTTGTTCACCGACATACAGGTAGAAACAAATTAGCAATTATCCGATTCGGTATATTGCAAAATACGTCTCTTTCATTGACATTGCATGGCACGACATATAGGGCGGTCTATAGGGCGCACAGTACCAACCAAAAATCCGAAAAAAATATTTAGTGCACTAGGTTATCTTCAGGCATGTCCCAGAGATTCCTATGATAATGAAAGAAGTCGCAGATTATTATTACACTAACTCTGCTGACGAAAGACAATTAGATTAAAACGTCGAGAAGTGTTTCTGTCTGTTTTAGGCAGGTGTTATACCACATTTGATTGGAAGTTGTTTGAAGACGCTGCTGCCACGTTGCTCGTGGTTATGTTGGAACGAACCTTAAATTAACTTTAAATTAAATCTGGCATGAGGTATTTGCTACATTCGCCATTGAAAACTTGATTGAATTTGAGGGCACTTGTTTTCTTGAATGCGGAGGAGTCAGTTCAAATCTACTTTTCGCTAACTAATAAACATTGATAAGAATAAAATTATAGCGTTTAATCATAATTAAATTAATATAAAAAACAGTGATCTGCTTTATATACCTTTGATGACGAGTTTCTATTCAGTGTTATAACATCTCCTGGTTCAATTAATTGATTTTAATAATAAATGAATATATAAATGAATATTTATTCAGCAACGAAAAAGTGTTTTTTTAATTAAAAATGCACTATAGCTTTAACGGACCCACAAATTTAAAGCGTATGATTTTTGAAGGTTGTTTTCGACATACCTGGGGCCCATTTTTGTCTCATAACCAAAGTCCGCGTAAGTGTCGCTCCCGCCAAACTGTGCGGGATCTTGTTCTGTTATTCCAATCCCATGATCTGCTCTACCACAACCACTTCCACCTCCACCAATCATCATCACTGCAGCATCCGCAGACCACTCACACCAAAACCCGATATAGTTACTACTTTGAATACCACTGCTGCAACTATGCATCCCAAATCCAGTCGTGCTCTGATATAACCCGCCATATTTAATCGCACAACTACCCAGACATTTGTTACTCGACCAAACAGCTCCATTACGAAAGTTTCCAAAAGAAGTGATAAACTCACGAAATGTTTTTCCGTTGAGACAATTGTTGGTTGTTTCTAACAGAGCTGTGTGAGTTGGGTCATCACTTCTGGTAATTTTTATGTTATTCGCAGGTGAAAACCAAAAAGCTTGGGATATCATGTCCTGGTTCAACGAAGGATCCGTTGTTCTTCCGTAAGGTGACGTTTTGTCAAACCAGAAATTGGCATCTTTCATCCAATTTTTTCCGTCGTTGTTTGAAAAACGAGCCACAAGCTTCCAAACACCAGGATTCAGTGCCTATATACATAATTTAAAATTGTGGTCTAACAGTTTTCATTTCCTATTTCTAATACCTATTAATTGCAAAAATTTCACCGGCCGAAGTTATATATAATATTGTGGCGGCTTTCAGCTCGATTGAACAATAGCAGGAACTTTTTGGTTAATTAGTGGTTAGTTATGACGCGGTAACTAGTTCCAATTTGGGACAGGTAAAGGTTTGCACAATCTTGTTTTTCGCGCAGTTGGTATGTGTATTCGTCGAGAAAACTTGTAATAAAAGTTTCGAACAAGTTTTCGTAGCTCATCCATCTGTTCGAACATCTCGGTTTGTGCATCGTTCGCCTTGACAAAGCGGGACTGTTATGTAAGTTTATCTTTTACGATTGTTATTTAGTTAGTTGGTAGTTTCTCTTTTAGTGTGTTAGTCTCAATAATTGCATGATAAGATTGAGCTGTTTTAGAACATGTTTTGGTGCATGTGATAGGTATTCATAATCTGTATAGCTTATTATTCCTTTAGTTTAAGATACAGTTTAGTAGTTTTAGCTGGTATAGTAATTAGGAATGCATGAACTTAGTTTTATATATTCGTTATTTCAGTTTACGACAACTATATAATCGACAACTTTAATGATTCTCGAGGAGTAAGGTTGTTACTTGGTCAAGACTAATAAATTGTTGCCTGTAAAATATATCCCTGAATTTGTTTCTTCGAACTCTAAAACGTCGTGACGTAGGCAAATCGTCGTCGTTTCGAACAGCTTGCGCTGCGGCCGTTACAAATATTTTACATAATTTATAATCTGCGCATAAACAGGAGAACTTAAAATAATAGTGATACTGTGCAGATATATTGGAAATGATATGTCGGAACGTGCATGTCAAAGGCTATTTATTTTCCTAACAGTTGGGTAATCGTCTTAAAAATGGTCTGGATAGTGCATGTAAAAATTTGATCAAAATTGTTTAAATCAGACATCACTCACAAGACGAAAACCCGGAATAGCATCTAGTGACGTTCTTCGCAACGATTCATGGTTTAAACGCAAAACATAGTAACAATATTATGAAACTATTTAGCTACCTGCTATTAGTAAAGTTTTTGAAAAAATGCAGTACTTTTTTCCATTTGGGTTTTTGATCGTTTTATTTAATATATCTGCTCTTTACTATGCGCAGCACAAATGAGTTGGACGAAGGCGTTTTTTTGGAATTCTAGAACCTTAATGCAAATCCTTGTACCAGTTTGGCCAGATCTTGTATTTTTATTACTATGGATTCGGTCCGTTGAATGCACATAAACAGCCTTACATGATTTTATTTATTACCAAGTCTATACCAAGAGGGGCAGTCTAAATAGACTTTAAACAGCTTTGGTTATAAAATATTCATATATAGTAACGCTTCCTTGTGCCTTAAATAGGGATGACGCAGAAAATAATTACCTCTTTTTCGAAGAAGCCACCATGTTAAGAGTATATAAGGTCAAAGATTTAAACGTCAGGTTACCTCTTGATGAAGACACTAGACCGGAGTGTCAAAACGTTGGGTGGTGATGTAATATCTGGCTGATTATTTTTTTATTACCCTAATTATTTAAGAATGACGATAATAACGATGGATTTTACACTTTGTTCCTCTGAAATTTATTAACTTCTAGAGAATATTTTCGAGAACTGTGGGGAGCCAATATACTTGTGGGTATATTATTTTAAGTATTCATGTGATATTGACCAACTTATAAAATGAAATTTCCTACTTTTTCCATATTGGTATGGGGCTTCCCATATTCCTTTGCAAATTTTAATACAATAGCGATATACTGAATTTCAATATTTGGATAACAGGCTGGTTCGTAGGAGGTTGGTTAAAGTTAGTCTTTGTTTTGGTAGCCTGCAGGCCCCATGGGGCCGGTTGTTGAAAGCTGTGTTAGCGCTAACGCTGCATGGGTTAAATTTTAATCCAGTGTCTTGGTTTAAGTGCTTCCGAACCACTGTTCGCTTCAAAACCTTTAAAAAAATATGGCTTTGTCGACGGTCCACAAAATATTTATAGAAAAAGATATTCAACTTTGTTGAAAAAAAAATTAATGTAGAGATTTGTTTTAACCCAGGGTCAAGCTAACCGGCTTTTGAACTAGCGATTAAAAAAATAATGTAGAGATTTGCTTTAACCCAGGGTTAACCGGCTTTTGAACAACCGGTCCCTGCGGAGCACAAATAATGCCTGGCCGTGCCAATAAATCAACTTTGGTGTAAATGGGGGGCTTATATTTATTTATTGCATGCATGTTGGAAGAAGGTGTTTTTTACCTTTGAACATAACTGGTATAAGAATAAATTTGCACGGAAGTTGCTAACAGAATGAATATTAACGGAAGTATTTAGCCAGTGCTCAGTAAGTTTCTCTTGTATGCTGTATGCTCAATGATTTATACTTCATGATTTTTTAACGCAATATTATTTGAACTGCTTTATAATTACCTCCAAGTATCTGGAATTCTTCACCGTTTCTATATAATTTTAAAAAAGAAGGAATAAATGTTAATCGCATGTTGGAAAAGCAATAACTGAGTGATTCATAAATATTTATTGACTTACGATCTTTCACAATTGCCAATTGCCCATTAAGTTGCGACACACCTTGTGTGATCTGTAAATTATTTTCATACATATAGCTAGATATAATTATTGTATGAAGAATTTGCAGCGCGGGTAAACTTAAATTTTGGGGTTAAATCTTTTCTTCACAACCCTAAAAGGTAAAAATGCAGGGAGAATAACGGGCGAAAGTTGGATTTTTTAACGACTATCCAAATTTTAATCGGTGCTCTAGTGAGCGTCAGTAGCGTCATTGCTTAGATGCAAAGGCTTTATCCTTATTATGCTTAGAGATGCAAACGCTATATGATTTTAGTTTCTAACTTTCACACCTTCAAAGTTTCCGTCTTCTTTGCCGTCGCTATAATTTTGAGGGAGTTATTTTAACTCCTAAAATAGGAGTTACGGAAAAAGGTACAGAACAACTCACTTTTTGGAGTTAAAAGTAACTCCAGATTTGGAGTAAAATATTAACTCCGTTTTTGCAGTCAAAATAACTATCATTTAGGGGTTAAAATGTAACTCTTAAAAAGGAGTTAAGCAGTGGTAACTCCACTATCGGAGTTATATTATTTCTACTTTCAGAGTTCTGATGCAAATTGTGTTTGTGTATTGGATTATTAAACTAAAAACATTAAAGCGAAAGGTTCTCGTAATGTCATATTGGTAAATTTATCTCACAAAATTTCTTATTATCAATTCACATGCATTTGTATAATATTGTGAGTTGTATATTTGAAAAGACAGATCAATACAAAAGCTCTGAATTGCTATATTAATTGTCTGAAAGGATCACCTTTTTATAGCCCACTTTTAAATAATTCTAACATCAGTTGTTGCTTTTAACCTCAATAATACTCTTCCTATACCCTAAATTATGAATTACTTCTGAAAGACTTTGATTACTGTAAATTTTAAAGTGATAAAATGACCTATTTAATATTGATTTTTGCATCCGGCCCGCTTGAAATGCATCCGGCCCGGTGTGAAATGTGAATAAAACGGCCAAACCAAAGCAACGTAAGGCTAAAATGTGTAAAAACCTTTCCGGAAAAGACTAAAAGTATGTTAGAAATAAAAAACATACCCGAAAAACGTCTTAGTTTGGATTTTTTACTCCTTTTTTCGCTGCATTTTACGTTGTTTTTCTAGTCGATTTGCCCGAATTTGCCGTGATTTAGTTGCTATGGTAACAATATCTGCCATTTCATTGGCTGTTTCCCGACTAGGATATCCTTTTAAGGAGTTGTTGACGTATAAAAATTCTGAAATGGCTTGTAGCCTTGTAGATTGCAGAAATTATAGTTTTTATATAGTTATTTGCTAATTTTTTTGCTTTTTTTGTGTTTCATGAAGTCAATAGTGTAAAGGTAAAAAAATAAACACGTTATATACCGCAGCTTCAGCCCGGAGGCAAAAATCTGTCCTCTCGGTCTCGAAAACTTCCCTCGGCCTACGGCAAAGGTTAAAAAATAAACACATTATATTTTACCGGCAGCTTCGGCCCGGATTACCGGATACAAAAAACTGTGCCGACGGTCTCGAAAACGGAAATAACGACCTCACAGCCAGAAATAACATATATAATCAATAGATCATCGTCAGCCCTGCCATTTTTCCCTATTTTATGGGGGGAATGGCTTTTATATACAGATGAACAGAACAGCCTTATAAACTTGAACTTAAAAGTTAAATGCCGTAGGAAGAAACTTTATACATCGGGATGAAGAAAGCGATATAAGTTAAAATATAGGGTTTAGAAGTCAAATTATATTAGTGGCACAAACATTCGTAATTTTTACAAGCCTTTTCCGCCTTTTTCACTCCAGAGTTAAATCAATTCACGTTTATAAGACTAAAATTTATAATAAACTATTAACCCGCTCCTCTTGTGCACGCCATTTTGAATTTTATTTAACTCCAAAAAGAGAGTTGAATTTTTATCACCCCCAAAAAAGGGTAATAGGTGAGTCAAAATAACTCATAAAAGAGGGTTAGATTGCTTAACTCCCCCAAAAGGAGTTAATTCTGCATAGTTAATAAGGTCTAAAAATTATTAACCCCTCAAAGAGAGTTATTTTTACTCCAAAACTATAGTTAAATTTTTAACTCCACTAAAAAAGGATAATGGGAGAGTTAAAATAACTCCCTGAAAATAACAGTGTAGGAACAAAAGCGAAATACTAAATTTTATTTGCCTTTTGGTAAACAGAAACTTTGTCACTTATTAAAATTTAGGACTTACTACTCTCTAGTTTGTCTACTCTTTCTTTCACTGTTGTTTGGAAATCTCGTAATTGCTCCGACACAGTGTGCATCATCTATATAAGTTAGGAACATAATGACTCAGTTATTACAGCGTGCCAGTATTAAGGTTTACTGTATTTTGATTTGTGCATGATTTTCGTATTAATTTTCAGCAAAAATTAGGTCATCTTATATGTTTGTAGTGACATAGTTATGGAGTTCATCAATAAGCGATAAAGATTTACACTCCCCTCAATTACCCTAAAATTACCCCCTCAACAAGGAGAGATTTGACCTGGGATCGGCCATCAAAAGTCCTAAAGCGAGATTGGACACAAAGGCGGACGGATTTTTGTTACGTGGAGCTGCTGCATTTTTCGACGTATGCGTGTCACATGTAAACCCCAAACATAACCAAGGCCGGTCAACCCAGGCAATTTCAAAGAACATGAGAACAAAAAGAAGAGAAAACACCAACAGAGGGTTTTAAACGTTTGAATGGGCTCTTTTACTCAACTCGGTTTCGGAACCAATGGTGGAATAGGACCTGAACGTCACAAGATTCTTATTCATTTGGCGCAAAAATTAGCAGAAAAAGGTCACGAAAGACTACTAAATTATTCATACAAATTTATTCCTATAATGATAGTAGGTTTAAACATAACATCTCTTCCCTCTCTGGAGTTGAAAGCCCAAATGTCAAAATCTATATGTAAATTTCTAAATTAAAACCAAGTTCATATTAAAGTATCACGCATTTTTAGAGTTTTCTTCCAATTTTCATAAATTAAATTTAGTTAGTAACTATTACATGTTGATACACCAATACACAATTACATAAATACACTTGTCCATATTGTCAACTTTGATATCTATCTGGGGTTTTTCTTACTCTTCTTAGATACTCTTCTCGGGCAATTAATGCGGTGGCTGGCGGGGTTTTGGTTGACGTGTCAGGAGTAGCGCGATAATTCCGTGAAAACTTGCATTTCTTACTTCCAGACTTTGTTGTTGGTACGACGACTGTATGGAGTAACTTTCGTGTGTGCGAAACCTATAAATGTTTTGCAACCTTTTTAAATTTACGACTGCTAAATGGAAGACCATGCACTATCGTACCGCAATTCTTCAGGTATTCCATACTTAGAAAATATCTTATCCAGGAAAGGTATGACAGCATATGACCTGATCAATTCCACGATTGGGAACCTTGAATAGCCGTCAATGCAGCGCCATGCTAAAATCTATACTCAACTCACTCCATGGTGCTTTCTGTAACTGAGACATCTGTGATGGTTCTCTCTCATTTCGTGGTGTTATTACGTGACAAAAAAGCCAAGATTTCACTTTCAACCAAACGACTGATCCTAGGAAACCAAACTTCCTCGCGTATCAAGGCTTTCGTTTTAACTATTCCAATATGACCCTAGCTCATGGGCAATATCTATAACTTTCTCTCGTTTTCTTTCAGGAATTACAATTCTATGTTCTCTCAGGACCAGATCAGGTAAGCTACACAGCTCATCTTTAAACTCACTAAAGACTGAAAATCTGAGACGCCTCTTTTGAGTTTTCGTATGGCTTTCCCGACAGCTTGTATAGCGTTGCTGATTTAATACGCGGCCAGGTTCATTGCTTTAGGCGTAGAGGTTTCCGTAAGAAAGTTAAGGAATTGTTTGTGGTGAATAATTGTTTTTTGAATTGTTAAAGGTGATTTTTTGAAAAAACCAATCTGTTGTAGAAAATATATGTTTTACAAACGTAAACAAATATCTCAACAGTTTTACGGCGATTCAAATAAACAATGTTCTTGGAAAAATAAAGTTGAAAAACGTTCTAAAAATAGTTTTTACCTTGAAAATAATTTTATGCCAAACTTTTGTGCTTTTGCAGGTACAGTATTTTTGTCAAAATAACGTTCTTTTTCATCTGTCACTTTTGACATACAGAAAGAACTCGCCGCCATTTTGAAAAATCCGGAAAGGTGATTATAGCGCAATATTCCGAGGTCGCTCGACCAATCAGTGCCAGAATGTGCAATAGTCCCCTCTGTAATTATACTAATTAACAATTATTCGCAGAAGGGGATGTGATTATAGGGGAATAATTCCCCAATATTCAACGGGCCTAAGGCGAATAATTGTTTTAGTATTTTTGCACAAAAGAACTGCATTTGTTCGCTTATCTCTTTGTAAGAAACGTCCACAAAACGGTTAGCCGCCATTTCGCATTTTCGGTTTTGCCATATTCACCAGAAGGTGAATATATACGCATAATACCTCAAATTTGATTATGTGTAGGATTTGATATATTCTCTTGTGCAAAAATACTAAAATGCAATAAAGTGATTCACTCATTTCCATCCAGATGCGTCAATAGCGCTAATGCGTAGAAAGGGAACTACATGAACTTCTTATCTTTAGAAGTTTCAAACGCTATATAATTTATCATCTTAGTTTTTTATACCTTCAAAGTTTCCGACTTCTTTGCCGTCCCTATAGGTATAAAAGGAAAATATCAAATTAATATAAATGCCAATTGGTAAACAAAAGTTTAGATATTTATTAATTTTTAAAACTAACCATTTTCTAATTTCTCAACGCTTTCTTTCATTGTTGTTAATTGCTCGTACATCTCCAACACAGTGTGCGTGATCTATATAAGTTTGGAATATAATAATTCATAATAGATAAGATGGAATAAGTTAGGAACATGATGACGCAACTTGAACAACCCATTATTAACGCTTATTTTAATTTGTGATTGATCTTCCTTCAATTTATATGTTTCAGCCAAAATCCAGTCCAGTTATACGTATGTAGTAACATGGAATTCAATAAACGGTAAAGAATTACTGCACAAAATATGAGATATGGAAATGATTTATTTCTGCAAATACGGAATTATTATTAACATTTATTTAACGACGCCCCGACGGCCAAACGTTAGCGTTAGGTATGTGTGGATCGGGCTTTGTGATATATAGATATATAAATTGCCTTTACGCACCTTTTCCTCTTCAGCAAGAGTTTTCCATGTTTCGTTGCCTCTTAAATTTAGAGTTTGACTATCTTTCTGAAAGGCCAATAATCCAGTGACTGCCGGAATGTCCTGCAACTTTTCTACGACAACCACCTGAAAAATTACATCATGCTGTTCAGAGAAGAACTAATCAATTAAGTAGCTACGACGCATTGGGGATTGGGAAGATTCCCCCTGCATGATAACAGCGATTAAATGAGTGCGAGAACTCATTATTGCTAGAATGAATTTACGGCAGTAACAAGCAAGAATTAAAAAGTTTCGTACATCTTTGTTATTACGTTGGCTAGTAATGTGTGTTACATGCAGCTTCATATTTCGCGGGATAAGGTATTATTCTAAAAAGATTCGGAAAACTGCCAGAAATTACTGTAAGTGTCTTCAGAATACAGCTTTGTGCGCCGAAAAAATTTTCAGTTTTAACGCGAAAACCATGCATGTGAACGCAGTCTTTCTAAGAATTCATCATCATCATCATCTAGGCCTATTGCGGCAATGAGGCGCACTTTCTAACAATTAATTGCAAGCTATTCAAACACACCATACCATGGTGTGTGACAAGGAAATCTAACATAAGTATAATGTTGAAACACATTGCGCGTGGCTAGTCGTCTCGCTTATTACGATCTTTTCCACTATTCAAGACATGCGTCATTCAGATTTCAGATCGGTGTCATATGTTGTGTGCTCTAATTTTGTCAAAAAGGCCAACATTATCTGATCATGATAAAATTGTGTTTTTCAACGTTGACTTATTCCTAACCGCCCCGTGAAAGTAGGTTCGAGACAATCACGATTCAATCAAAGGATAAAAATCTGCCACTCCGGCAGCAAATTCCCACCGGCAGTCAATTCAATCGGGTATTGAGAACACGTGATTGTTCTAATTATTAACTAATGAGGAGACTGAGAACTAACGTCATCGCTATGTATTTCCTGGACAATTCCGGTCTCTGTTCGCAACTCTCTCTCTCATTGACAAGAGTATGGGACGAAATTAGCCCTTCGCTGGGCTTCGCAGAGTATGGAACGAAATTAGCCCTTCGGCCTTCTAGCCCATTAGCCGTTCCCGTTTAACAAATTATGTTACTTATTACAGCAGTGTGTAGCAGCTAGTGCATATAAACTGCTTAGTGCGTAGTGATAAGTAACTAACAAACAAACCACTTGGCCCACGGCACGTGACTTGCTCATGTGCGATTACTCAGGGAACGAATTAAAAAAACACAGTGAAAATAAAATTTCAGTAACCACCGTCAACTCATGGATCGAAAGCTTACGATAACCCCTTCATACATTTAACAATTTGAAAATGTGGGGAGTAGGAGGGTTCCTAGCATCCTTCCTGAGAACATTTTCGCAAGTCGCGGTGACCTGATTTCCGGCTGAATTGTGACACTAATTAATGTACAAGGGTTTGTTGAGAGATCATTATTAGCTACTTTTTTCTGGCACTGAACACCATCACTGGGCTAAAATATATTTACACTACGAGCGGGCGAGGTGAGGGGTCTTCTATCCCCCAGTTATATAGTTTTATATAAAGAGCGTGAGAACGATCAATAAATTGCGAATGTATCATTGACGAAAAAATGCCTCAGATCCACTTACCCCATCATTTATTAATGGTTCACTTCTTCCACACCTTCCCTAAACAGATCAAAGTGCTAATTATATGAAAGGTTTAATTTTGGATTTTTTCTATATATAAGTCACAATGCTTTAAAATTCGCAATTTATCAACTGCTATATAAGACTTACTTTGACAGGAATATTTCTCTCTCCCTCTAGTTTATACCAGGCACTATCACCATTTTCTTCTTCACTTTTGAATTCCATGCATTTCTCCCAAACTTTACGAGGAGGATTCAATCTGACCCAGAACCAAGCTGATGCATGTTTTGTTATTGTACCACCATTTGTTGCCTCACATTCTTCAAGACAGTAAACATCTCTTCCACCACGTGGTCCATAACATGCACAACACTGAAATACCGTGTGCCACAAAAAATGATAAATGAGTTTTTAATCGAGTAGACGGGTTTTTAAAGGAGACGAAGGTCGTATACTTATGAAGTTCTTTAAATCAATTGGCAAAAGTAGTGATCCTCATTATAACGGTGGGATAAAATCACATGACATCACTAAGCCTGACTCGTTCGCTACGCTTTGGCAAAACTCGCCCCACCTCTTAAACTAAATATGGGGATTTGAATAAAAGAACCCTTACCTTTCCTTTATCGCAACCAAAAAATGCAGTTGAACCACTACTGCTGCTGTTTGCCTTGCTGACGTAACTGAAAATTAAAGATTATTAATAGTTCAGTTAGCAGCTGAAAAGACCTGCAACTTTTAGGCTTGATCATCTACACATTTCCCAACAATTATGATTTTTGGCACTTCACTGGATGAAGATACATTCTAGAGGTTGGAAGGGTCTTAATTCCGAGTGGAATTATACACACTTTACACACATTTGAAGTGTGTATAATTCCACTCGGAATTAAGACTCTTTCAACCTCTAGCATTTCCTAACATATTTAGATCATGAATACCTGAATCCCCCAGAGAAATGAACCTGAACTGGAAATAACCAATGGTAAGCAAAACCATATGGGCATGGTTGTTCCAAACAAAGATTCATCATTGTCTGTGAAAATGTTAAGATAACATATAAAATGATGTAGAATTCGGGTATAACACGCATGTTGTTTTAAAAAGGATTTATACAAGTCACTTTGCTATTTAAACTTAAAATTCTTAAATTGTGTATTAATTCCGGTAATTGTCAGTTTTCTCTATGTATGGTAAAATTTCGTTATTCCAAATTAAACGAGTCTTAAATGTTATATTAACGCATTTGCAGTTACATGAGATAAGAAATTTATTTGTAGATTTTTCACAGATTAAAATTTCATACATCTCGCCTTATATTAATTTGAAGAAGCTGCTAACACAGGAATCGGAGCCTCCTTTTTAGTTATGGGAGCGACAAATTCGGCCTAACTAACATGGATACCCTTGAAAACATTTTAGCTCTAGATGACAAAAGCAATATCATCGCACAGAGGATTGGATCGGAGCGGAGAAATGTTTCAAATTGAGAGATCATTGGAAATTCGTCAATTTCGAGGATAATTAATAACCTCATCAGCTTGACAGCGCAATTTTCTAGCTACATTATTGTTCATGTTTCCAACCTTAATTTTCTACAACTTTAATTGATTCTCAAATTGTCCTTTAATATTTGGCCCGACTTGGATAAATATATGATATTATTTTTCTTGTTGAACTTGTCACCTTTGGGAGAGTTTTTACTGTTTGGAAAATTATTGATACTAAATTATCTCACCCAGCCAACTTTTGCAGAAGGAAAAGAATACGGTCCAAATATTGAGCAAGAGAAATCTTTCGAAACAATTTCACCCGTCATCAAATCTTTGACATAAGACACATCTCCAACACCAGGGAAATTGTTTGGACATCCTCCTTGATCAACAATCATCAAATTCTTTAAGACACGTTTATTCTTAAAACGAAATGCCCTGAAATGAACAACAGTTTATCTCGAAACATTGATCTATAAAATACATTTATATATAAATTATATAAATCAAATGTTTTATTTATATCCCTATAATTTTATATTGTCGATATTTTATTCCAATGACCGTTTACCATTTTGGAGACTGTTTTTTGAAAAATATGTATTATATAGCTGCATTCAATTAAAACACAGGTTGCTCCACGCGTTCGAATAAACTAATTACCAGTGAGCCTGCGTCTTTTCCATGTCATCATCCGAAGCAACTTGAATTCTGAAATCCAAAACTGAAACATCGCCAAACTCACTGGACCAGTGTGGACCACCAAATGGTTCAACAGTTTCATTATTTGATGGGACGCCCCATGTTACAGTGCCATTGATGTAACCAAACAATATATACCCACCACCATCTGTTGTCATGTCACAGTAGACCTACATTGAAAAGGACACATTCAGTACTATATAGCGAGGCAATTCATCGTGAGAGTATATGATAGGAAGTTGTTTGAGTGTGGATTGTTTTAATCAGTTTAAGTTCATACAAGGTTTGCATGAGTGGAAGGCGTTACCTTTTTTGGTTTTCCTGCATTGAAATTCACCCAATAATATCCATCTTTCGATTTCGGGTTTTTATTCAAGATATCCAGGCAGTCATAACCAGGATTAAAAAATTCTCCGGGCGGTTTCGAATCTATTTGAAATATTTTGGAACTGAAATATTTTATCACGGGTAGAAAACAAAGCATTTGCATTTCAGCACAACAACGCTCAATAATCGACATGTCTTAACAACAGTAACGATTTATACTTTGCAGTTTATTTTACTTACTATCAGTCGTCTTCCAACTAAAAACTTCATCATCTTCAGTACAAACTAAAATGGTATCTCTGTTCTCTCTATCTTTTACCAATATGAGTTCGCCATGATTTGATCTTGAACAATTTCCTGGATCATGATTTTCTCGGATTATCAACTTCTGTAAAAAAAATTATTGGTTTTTGAAACAAAAAACTATGGTATAGTTTTCTTCTTGTTATTGCAATGTATTTTTGAGATATTCACAGTGATATCGTTAACAGTTAAACACAGAGACGCCAGCTTCTGCAATATTAGAGTATCCATTGGTATGGTATACGATAATTCAACATTCATTTGCTTTTACATCGAGTTCTCTCCATTGGCTCTTTCCCATTAAGACAGCTATAGGTCGCTAATTAAAACTCTATACTTTCTTTTCGTGTTGATTTAGGCTTTAAACTAAACACAAAAAATACCTTTGCGTTGAACAAAGAAAGCAAGACCAATGCTGTAGTAACAAACGGAAATTTAAGCATCTGAAAAGAAGTTATTGCATATAAGCATTGTAGAATACTTTAGCTTGATGATGTGCTAATTAACTCTCCCGATTTCAAACTGTTACGCAATATATATTCATGCCTTATCAAAGGATGACCAGTTACCAACTGACCATGAAACGCAACCCAGCAACGTGATATAAATTTTTAGTTCAGATAAATTTAATGTTATAGGTCAAGTTCATATATGCTGCAGATATCGAAAATTCGAAGAAATTGCGTGGCGATTCTAATTGCATTTATATACTAAGTACCCTAATAGCTACATATTTGATGTTTCTAAGAATTTTGTCAACAAGTATAATGTTTTGATCAAAATATGAAAGGATAAGTGGAAGCTATATATTTGCAAAAACAAATTTCTTGCTGCATTAAAATTTCTTAAACGTTTAGTTACTTACACTACAATAATTATTACTAACAATTTAAGTAATATTGGGAAACATCTGCCAGAACATCAGCTCAATCAGATTGAGTTGAAAATCATAATGCCAGAATCTGATTTTCTTTTAAAAAGCTATAGAGTTACATCACAGATTTTGCTACAGCGAGAATTTTTTGCTTATATGCTTTTGTGATTGCAAATCGCAGCTAAAGGCGTAACTGTAATTATAAACCGTAGGCGTATCAATTTGTTCATTTTAGACTGGCAGCCAAAAGCTCGTCATTAATCAATATATAACACAAAAGAATGTCTGAAGTTTCTTAATATGTTAAACCCTGGTCGCGCTTCTATTATTTTTTAACTATACGAGTGTATTTGTTCGCACTTCATTTGCTGTATATTAGAATTATTATTTTTTTTTAACTCACACCATCTCTAAAAATGTAATTCACAGCAGTCAATCGAATTTAAGTAATCAGTTCTCATTTTTCTCATACTTCAATGACATTGACTTTCAGGGCTGGTTTTCATTTATAATCGTAACCGTTCGTCAACATGTCAAGATGGCGGATGTATTGGAATGCTGCAGTGAAGTCAACAATTACAATTTTCATACAAAGAATTAATCTATCCAACAATTTCCTCAACAGTATTTCACTTAAAATGACTTGTTCAGGACAATTACGACTGAATCAAACCTAGTATGAAAACTAAATTATGAAAGTATGAAAAATTCCATCGCACGGCGAAATGCTGAAAGTCACACTACTTGACCTCGCTTCAGTTTCGTAAACAATCCTTTGGGAGTCCAGGTAATTGTCGAGAGTCGAGAGTCGAGAGTAAAATGTCGAGAGTCGAGAGTAAAAGGTCGAGAGTCGAGAGTAAAAGGTCGAGAGTCGAGAGTAAAATGTCGAGAGTCGTTACCTATGCCAAGAGACTATGGTGACACTGTTTTTTTATCAATTGACGCTTTATGTTTCAACTTCCGACATGGATGCGTCAAGTGACAGAACTCGACGCACACCTTGCGCTTTTTGTCTCGTTTATGAAACGATCGATTCTGTCTTTAAAAGTGTTGCATAAATATAAAAAAATGTTGAAACGGTTATATTCCGATATTTTGAGCGGTAACTCGGGAAACTCGGGCGAGGAAAATGAATACCAAATGATTGAGTCCGAAGACGTTGCTCTGGCGAAAGCCCTAGAACGTAACGTAAATAAAATATATTGCGACTTGTTCATCAAACAAACACGCCTTTTTCACACTAGTTTCTTTTATAAACTTTTACTTTTAGACTTTTACCTGCTGTGATTGACCTTTATCTGAAGGGTCAGATAAAGGAAGCCAAGATCTATATAACACTTACAAACATCGCTGTCTGTGGCGTATTCAATGCAGGCATTTTATTTCGTGGAGGTCTACATGCGTGTGTGTCAGAAATGCTAAAACGCTCAGAAATATGAGTATATAATCTTTAACAGAATCGATCGCGCTTGATAAACGAGACAAAAAGCGCAAGGTGTGCGTCGAGTTCTGTCACTTGACGCATCCAGGTCGGAAGTTGAAACATAAAGCGTCAATTGATAAAAAAACAGTGTCACCATAGTCTCTTAGCATAGGTAACGTGCAGTGAATATAAGTAAAAGTAAACTTAATACATAAATAACATCATTTTGTGCGCGAAATCGACTCTCGACATTTTACTCTCGACTCTCGACCTTTTACTCTCGACTCTCGACCTTTTACTCTCGACTCTCGACCTTTTACTCTCGACTCTCGACTCTTGACAATTACCTAGACTCATCCTTTGGTATTCTCCTCTTCAAGACGGGGATTTACGTGGCGAATTTGAATTTCTATTGAGACAGAATTAGAAATCAAGAGTTCTGTATATTTTCTGCGAACGAGAGGGTAGTGAAATTTAATACATTTTGCAGTGAATCTATCTAGATATTCTTTAGTCATAGACATGGAATTAGTTTATCAATGCAGGAACCTTTAGCCTGGGAAATAAAATATTAGAATCATCAGAGATGCCATGGCTGTCGCCAGCCAATGAATTCCCATAATTACGTTCGTCAGTTTATTATTATATGAATAAATTTTCTTCAGAAAAACAGCCAGACATTGTCGATCGTCTATCGTTGGTGACATATGACTTATATGATATGAGAGCAAAGCTTTAGTTTGATATCTTTGTTAACAAAATAAAATTTACCTTCACTTCTTTAAGCAGAACGAAAATGATCGAAAAACACCAAAGATTTGAAGCAAAAACCAAATGAAGTGACCAGTGCGATGCTTTTGAATACTGTCTCTTGAAATGCTATATTTGCGTCATTGCAGACAGAAATTTAAAACTCTTCTATTCGCAAATCTCTTCATTAAAATAATCACCCACGACGATTGATTAATTTAGTCATCACATTGCAACACGAGATTAATCGATTTACATTCGTCAATACGAAAAGGCGCTTAATAATAAGATGAAGCTTATGGATGAAGAATGTGCATGTAGGTAATATAACGTCTGAAAGAATTACTCAACAATAAACGGATATCTTATAATTCTGTTGCAGGTTTTGCGCGGAAACGATTTTAAGAAGGATTTATGATAAAGCTATTTTCACCTCCAATTAAATCTGTTTCTCGTAGTCTGTATCATATTTTTGTAGTTATATATCGAGAGTTCGTTATACAGGGTGTGAAAACCATTGAAATCACTCATTGTTAAAATTTGAATGCCGTGTTGACGAATTTCATGCAACTTATAAAATGCTAAATGCTTTGTGTTGCTAGAGAAAGTGGACATGTCGAAGGTCATGGTCCTTGAGATGCACATTTAAATATTGTTATCCATATTTTTAAATTGTAAATATTGTTAATAAATATCATTTTTGCGAACAAGCAAATTTTACTGCATCATATGCATGCATAAAAATGAGTATGGCAAACACTTATACACCTGTGGGTCCCAACAGAGTGCTTAGGCATTCAAACTCTAACAATTGCATTGTTATGGGTGATTTCAATGTTTTCGGTTTTTTTGGGACACCCTGTACATAGTTATTAAGCCGCTTAATTGGGGGTGTGTGTGTATATTCATGTATATTCATGTTTATACCCGTAAGAGCAATAGCGTACAAAAGAAATCAGTCGGGCATAAGTCGAATTAAATGAATATACACCCCCAATTAAGCTTCTAGCCACGGCCCTGATACAGATTACTTATATCCTGAATGGGTTTGGTGATGGCAGTAAAATGGTAGTCGCTATTGAATTCATCATAGATATACCAATTATGAAACAAAAAATGAAAGGTCGCGATTATGTACACGGAGATCTTATTAATTTAACCTTTTTCTGTTTTAGCAATGCGAAATATCTGGGCTGAATTATCCCGCGTAAGGGGCTTCGCCAAGGCTTAATTATCCACGAACTCCTCGACTGAAAACTTCCATTTGTTGTTCATTGCCAAAAATTATGGACTGATGTCACCACGCACGCGAAATATTTCTCCAATATTGTGGTATTGAGGAATGAACACATTTACATATTTTATACATTAACATATTTTTTGTTATGTTTATAGCCTGGCGACCTCACTGAGAAGTTGATTTAACAAATGTTTAGCGGCATAAAGAAAATGCCGTTTTACAGAGCAACATTTACATTTGTATTTAATAGCTCTGGTTAAAAAATCCTATATTTTGTCACATTTGAGCGATAATTCCTTATATTTTTACATGGATATCGCTCCATATGAGATTGATGTACAAATACACACTTGAGAAATTTACCGTTGCCATTTTCAAGGGTATACTCTATTGGTGCCGACCTCTGGTATTCCTCGACCTCCGGTTGTCTAAACTCTGAATATTTTAAGTATTTTCCAGTTTAGGTTCCCTAATTGATGTTGTTTGACAAAGTTTAAGCTACTCATCATGGCCATTTTGAATACGAATTATATTAACTGTGACCAACCGCTGAAATGCATCGGGCGCATATCCGCGCTTTCTTTGATGTGTGTTATAATGCACCAACAATGTAACGCACAGGAATGGTTCAGTTGGATGAGCTTCAAACGTAAGAAGTTCTTATGTTGTCCAAGTAGGAGGCTGAGAGGCGGTGAGAGGGGGCGTTTTGCCCCGGGTCACAATCTGAAGGGACCCCGGACTTAAGAAAGAACCTAAAATTAAAGCACCTTAAAAATGTTGGGCTATAGGTGTATTATTCGCACACTAGTCGAAAGTACCAGTTGCAGTCATTGTTATTTGTCATTTTAATTTCTAAGATACGTTGATATTGTTTGTAAAACAAGCTTGTATATGAAACTTTTTCAAATCACTTTGAAGTACTTTATGCCTCGCAGGTATCTAAAACCATGACGTCATAGGGCCCAAGAAAAAAATTGCCCAGGGCCCCACAATTTCTCTCGGCGGCCCTGGGTGTCCCACTCGTGCATGTTTGTTTAATCTTTTCCCGAATAATAAAGTCACATGTTTCGATAAGCTTATCTTGTCCAGGGTGAGGAAGTGAAGTGTTACTTGAACCGAGCGGCTTTTAATGTCAGTTCGTGTACCAGTAGTTGCTTTCTCAATTTTGGGAAAATCTGTTGCAGTGCGCGCAAAACTCGCGCAAGGCATCAGAAAATTCGAAACTTTTCAAAAAAAAATACCACAAAATTTTCAAACATTTTTGGCAAACCATCCTAGAGTGAAAGCATCAGCAAGGATGGATTTATTGTTATCCTAAAACCACCACGCATGCGCAGTGACAAAACAACTCCCCAGGTCCAAATCCTGGTCAACACAATCTCCAGTAACATTGTCATGATGCACTGGTGCTATGGATGAGTTTGCTTTCAAGACACTACAGGAACAGAAACCCATAACCCTTCGACATTCCAAAACACATTATTATTGATATTATAGGAATTATTGGGATACCAATAAAGAATTTATTGCTTCCTGCACTTGAGACTTTATAATAAAGTAGATTAAATACTTTAGTTTGACGCGCAGGTAATTTCCCTGGAATTCTGATGACATATAGGTAACGCCTGGGAAAGCGGAGATGAGGGTCAGTATAGATAAAGAGCAGAATGTGCTGCCAATTCATTCTGCTCCTCGCTTCGACAAGGTCATTACAGATCAAATTTGAACCCGCCCTCCTCCCCGTTTTCTCACGCGAGCTTAATGTAAAGGTATCTTAGTATATTCGGTAGGGCGTTTAAATTAGCCCCACCTTTTCTGTGCAAATTGTTTAGTAATTGAATTTATTGTTTGTTGATTAATAATTAATTTGTTGTTAAGTAAAAATTAATAAATCGGCATGTGCGTTAGACAATTACGCACATTGCCAAAATTATTCCAACTCTGTGTCTGAGTTGTTTTTGTACGAGATCTAGAACACAGAAAACCGAGCTCGTCATGACAAGGTATCTTTTAGATATGAAGGGAAGCGATAAATTAAATACTATACAACCAGAGAGCAGCATGGCAGCGTCTTCGAACAACTTAGCATTAAATGTGGTATAACAACTGCCTAAAATAAACAAAACACTTCTCGACGTTTCGACCTGAGAGCCTTCATCAGGAGAGTTAGTATGGACTTAGTACATAGGCGTACGGGCCTAGAAATTTTGGGGGGGCGGAGGATAGTCTGCCCGACGAGCGCAGAACTTTAATAGCTTTCACATTATTTAGGCAATTTGATAAGTTGATTTTCACTCATAGCGAAGCGCGTAATCGGAAAGGGGAAATCGTTTTGCGGAGTTTAGGCAGCGGCGTAGCCAGGGTCACTGTTTTGGAGAGCCGAGATGCAAACGCCAAAGGCGTGAGCCATACTAGGGGGGTCCGGGGGCATGCCCCCCGAAAATTTTTGAAATTTAATGACCCGCAAATGTGATTTCCTGCATTTTCCGCGTGAGATTTTGCAGAATAAAGTCAGGAATCTGAGGTCTATCTAGTGCATAAAGGACATGATTTCCTCCCCCCCAACTTCGATTAAATCTCGGATTAAATTATGTACAGTTGCTATAAAAGTTAGTAAAGTTACAAACTTACAAAACGATTGAAGTGTTTCGTAACTACATGGTGAGTTTTGTTGCGCCAATCAGTTGTGGCACATAGGGTAGCCAGTGGCACAAATGGAAAAGCAAGTTTATTTCAATTATTTTCGTTTCCTTTAATTCAGGTTTACGCAAGCTGCAAACATATATATTCTACCATATTCTATCATATTTGAGCATTCTTAAATATTTTTATGTAGTGTGGAGAACATAAGTACAAATTGCCCGATTCGTAAATACAAATTGCCCGACTAATTAATATTTCTGACAAAAATTAATATTTCTGACAGCCCCCCCGCCTCGTACGCCTATGACTTAGTATGAACCTTATTAACTTTCCTGACGAAGGCCCTCAGGTCGAAACGTCGAGAAGTGTTTTGTCTATTTTAGGCAGTTGTTATACCACATTTGATGCTAAGTTATATTGATTACTATATCAATTATCGAAAAAACTTCAGAGGTTAATATTTCCAAGGCTAATCAAGCATTTCAACGCGAATGCCGAACGACATCCGACCAGTGAACTCGATACAACGATATTTTGGCCGCCATCTTCGAAACCCAATTCAAGTTGAAATTTCATCACCAAAAAAACGTTGGTTTTTATACACAAGCCCATTTCATCTGAGCAAGAATAAAAGCAATGACATTCCGATTTTAGTAGAAAACAAGTTTCTTGAATGTGGAAAGATTTAAACCTATTTTTTTGCCAATGAAGGCAAAGTCTTTTACAGCTCGTTCAAATTCCGCAAATTCAGTATATCTGATCGATACATCGGCGGTTTCTCCGTTAGACTGCATGGTAAGGCGTATTTTTTAAACCGTCTAGAAAGGGTATAAATTCGTTGTTCAAAGTTGAAGTGATCAATTGACATAATGTACTTTAATAGCAAAATTTTGCACAAAAAATGATTTTTACGGACTTTCTCTCTTCTCGAAGCTCTCCGCAGTTCAGCGGTAATTTTGCTTGCGCGATATCCGCTATTAGCCAGAGAATTATTAATATTCAAATTTCAGTTTTATTAGAGTTCACTGCATCCGACTCCAATTGTGAATGATCTTATTAACAAATTAAATAGCTCCATCGCTATAATAAGGTATCAAAGTTGAGGGCGAAACAAATGATCGATTATCCGATTTGATGTTGCAACAGATTGAAATTGTAGCGCATGAACCCGCGTAAATACGTCTCTTTGATTCACATTGTTATCATCTATATCTAATAACAATATTCCCCGGTTTGCACCTTTGCAGGAACACATACCTCTGCTAGTTTGATTCACAGTGTTTAAAATAGTAAACCACAATGCATCTTACAGTATTAGGTCAAATTCGAAACTTTGCTTCAGAGGCCTGCCATTAAAGCATTGGGCTGATTAATACCATGAACAGAAGAATGTAATTATAGTGAAACATTTATCTAGTAAAAGAAAATTAAATGAAAAAAGATATGTGGTAAAAAGAGTGCACAAGAGCCTTTTTATGACGAAATTTTCTGTAGTTTGTCCCCACCCCATATTTAAACAAACAGACGGGTGATGGGTCAAGACGAACTACACATTCAAATTCGTCTCAATGATCGAGCATGTGGATAACTCGTGTTGACGGATGATCCGAATGTTTACACACAGACGAACTATCTTTTCCTTACCCAATTTCGCCTAGACGGATGATCCGTCTCTACACTGTAAATTCAAAAGAGTCGTTTTGACCAGGGCGAGTCATTTCAACACCTTTATTCAAAATGTCATTTTTACTCCTCTAATGTGTCGTTTCGACTCTAATAGTCGTTTTAACTCCGACATTGGGTTAAAATGACAATTCGGAGGACTCGTTTAGTTCATTTGAAGGGTCACAAGACTCTCGCAAGAGTCAATAGACTCTTAAGTAGAGTTCACATGGAGTCATGTGACTCGTTCTTGGAGCCATATGATTCTTTGTTGGAGTGGTGGAACTCTTTCTTAGAGTCATTCTGCCTTTTATAACAGCCACTTATATACAAAACAAATAATTTGCATGTTTAAAATATTAAGTTGAAGTCATTAGGCATGTTACATGTATTACAAATCCTTTGTATTTGAAGCAAATAACCAGTCAACACATTAAAAAAATACTCAATTATTATGACACAAATACACTTGATATTAGTTGTTATCGTTTCTTCATGTATCGAAAAAGTCTTATAAATTTGTTAAGTTGCTTATATGTGTATGTTTGTGTCTGTCTATTTGTAAGTTAGTTGTGGAACCCCGTTATTGGAGACATATCTCTGTGTGGTGATTCCAGCCATTGCATGTGTGTAGTTCATTTGTAGTTTATGTGTAGTTCATTCTAACTTTTTAACATGGGAAATTTATAAAAAAAATATAAAAAATATATTACACTGCATGTATATAGGTTTTATATTTCTTGAAAATGTCAGCTGGAACAGGATATGCACACATATATATATAATACATAAATCAAATATATTATACATAAATCCATTTTAATAGTTCTGACTCATGCTGATAACTATATATGCTGATATCAAAAATGACAAATAATCAACAAACGTTCTGATTGGCTAAGACAGAAAGTTTGAATTTCAACGAGAACGTCAGCAATTTAACTGTCATTTCGTAAACCTTTTTGTAAAAGCGTTTCATAAACTTTGTGCAAAGTAAAACGGGAAGAAACAAGATATATGAAGCATGACAGATAGCAAAGATGAACAGGGATACAATCAAGACCGAAAGCCGTGTAAGAGAAATAATTCATAATCTGCAAGCTTATAAGTGTTTTCAAAGGGTGCGTGTTTACTTTGTTTCTTTCGTATTTGCTTCGCAGTAAGGATGAGCTGTATTTGTATAATTTTCAGCTTTGTATGCCGTTTATTTATTAATTTTCAGCTTTTTATGCAAACGATAAACCTGTGAAAGGCTATTACACCTTTGCTATAACTTCAAAAAGTGTTTTTGAAAGTGTAATTTGAACTTTGATATGAAAAATACACACTATGTCTATGAAGTATAAAACGTTTAGCCGTCGACTGTAATTACAGAATAAAATAACATTTGAGGCTTTTTCTTTGTCTCTGAAGTTTTGTACTGTTTTAATCGTTTGAAACTTCGATTTTAAACCATTACTTAATTAATTGCTGCTAACATATGGCCATTTACCATATTTTAATTTTAAAAATGTATATCCAACCCATTTTTTAAAGACACCGGACAGTTGACAGATGGCCTGTTGGCCGATATTTTAAAGCCTGCATGCTTATATATAGATATTTATATAATAATTTCTCTTCAAAGAAACATATTTGCGGGATGCATGTATGGTATGCTGTAATACTCACTGCATATACATTATTAAACATCGTCTACTCAAACTCTGCTTTTGTATTATATGCAAGCTTCATGAAACTAATATTGGTGACCAGTACTATAGTAAAATTGATGCCACAGAATAGTCGTAATGACCTCAAATAAGAGTAAAATCGATGTCAAAAAGGAGTGGAAATGACTCCAAATAAGAGCAAAAATGATGCTAAAGAAGAGTTCAAATGACCCCAAATAAGAGTACATTGATGCCAACGAAGAGTTGAAATGACTCCAAATAAGAGAAAAATCGATGTCAAAAAGGAGTCAAAATGACTCCAAATGAGAGTAAAATTGATGCTAAAGAAGAGTCGAATGACTCCAAATAAGAGTAATATTGATGCTAAAAGAAGAGTCGAATGACTCCAAATAAGAGTAATATTGATACCACAGAATAGCCGTAATGACCCCAAATAAGAGTAAAATCGATGCTAAAGAAATGACTCCAAATAAGAGTAATATTGATGCCACAGAATAGTCGTAATGACCCCAAATTAAATAAGAGTAAAATCGATGACAAAAAGGAGTCGAAATGACTCCAAATAAGAGTAAAATTGATGCCAAAGTAGAGTCAAAAATCAAAATGACTCTTTTAAAACGACACTTTTGAGGAGTTAATTTGCATTTTAACTGTTGCAAGAGTCATTTTGAAACGACTCCATGGGTAGTCAAAATGACTCTAGTTAAAGGGTTAAAATGACTCTTTAAAGGTGTCAACCCAAAATGAGTCAAAATGACTCTCTTCAAAGAGTCGTCCTGGGGTCAAGAAAACGACTCCTTTGAAGGAGTCAAAATGACTCTTTTGAATTAACAGTGTAGTATAAATCGAGACAATATCCACTCTTGGTGAAATGATTCACACATAACCCAACTAATAGGCTTTGTTGAAAGTCTTAAAAATCTTTTAAAGATGTATTATTCAAGAAACGTTATTCTAATTATAATATATTACGATTTTCCAAAATCATGACCCATCAATGCCTCATACGGGTCTCACCCAATCCGTTGTAAGGTAATTCTGCAGTTTTGCATTTTGCCACGGAAAACCTAATTGGAATTTGGGGGCACTTGTTTCCTGGAATTCGGAGGAATTAGTTCAAATTTACAGTTCAGTGAGTAATAAACATTAATAACAAATAAAATTATTGTGTTTAATCATAACCAAAATAATACGGAACAACAGTGATCTGCTTATATATACCTTTGACGACGAGTTTCTAGGCAGAAGTAATAACTTCTGGATCAATTAATTTTAATTGTACAACTCTGAATATTTATTGAGCGACGCAAAATGATTTTTTTAATTAAAATGCATTATATAACTTTAACGGACCCACAAATTTAAAGCGTACGATTTTTGAAGGTCGCTTTCGACATACTGGACGCCTACTTTTGTCTCATAGCCAAAGTCCGCGTAAGTTATGCTACCACCAAAAATTGCCGAATCAGCTTCTGTTATTCCAATCCCATGATCTGCTCTACCGCAACCACTTCCACCTCCACCAATCATCATCACTGCAGCATCACCATCAGTCCAATCACACCAAAACCCGATATTGTTACTACTTTGAATATCACTGCTGCAACTATGCATCCCAAATCCAGTCGTGCTCTGATATAACCCGCCATATTTGATCGCACAACTACCCAGACATTTTTCGTTCGACCAAACAGCTCCATTACGAAAGTTTCCAAAAGAAGTAATAAACTGACGAAATGTTTTCCCATTCAGACAATTGTTGGTTGTTTCTAACAGAGCTGTATGTGTTGAATCATCACTTCTGGTAATTTTTATGTTATTCGCGAGTGAAAACCAAAAAGCTTCGGATATCATGTCCTGGTTCAAGGAAGGATCCCTTGTACCTCCGTAAGGTGAGGTTCTGTCAAACCAGAAATTGGCATCTTTCATCCAATTTTTTCCGTCGTTGTTTGAAAAACGAGCAACAAGCTTCCAAATGTCAGGACGTAGTGCCTATATATATACATAATTTAAAATTGTGGGTTTAACAGTTTTCATTTCCTATTTCTAATACCTATTAAATTACTTTTAATTGCAAAAATTTGACTGGCCGAAGTTATATATAATATTTTATATAATTTATAATCTGCACCATAAACAGAAGAACTTAAAATAACAGTGATACCGTGCAGATATAATTATATAGGAAATGATATGTCGGAACGTGCATATCATAGGCTATTGTCTAACAGTTGGGTAATTGTCATAAAAATGATCTGGATAGTATAAAAATTTGATCAAATTGTTTAAATCATACATCACTCACAAGGCGAAAACCCGGAATAGCATCTAGTGACGTTCTTTGCCACGATTTACGGTTTAAACGCAAGACATGGTGACAATAATTATCACGCTATTTAGCCACCTGCAATTAGTAAAGTTTTTGAAAAAAGACAGTACTTTTTTGTCAGTTGGTTTTTGACCGTTTTATTTAATAGTATCTGATCATTACCATGCACAGCACAAATGAGTTGGACGAAAGTGTTGTTTGGAATTCTAGAATCTTAATGCAAGTCCTTGTACCAGTTTGGCCAGAGCTTGTATCTTTATTACTATAGATTCGGTCGGATGCACATAACCAGCCCCACATGATTTTAATTATTACCAAGTCTATACCAGGAGGGCAGTCTAAATAGACTTTAAGCAGCTTTGGTTATAAAATATTCATATGCAGTAACGCTGCCTTGTGTCCTAAATAGGGATGACGCAGAGAATAATTACCTGTTTTAGGAAGAAGCTGCCATGTTGAGAGTATATAAGGTCAAAGTTTTAAACGTCAGGTCACCTCTGATGAAGACACTAGACCGGAGTGTCAAAACGTTGGGTCGTGATGTAATGTTTGGCTGATTATTTTTTTATAACCCTAATTATTTAAGAATAACGATAATAACGATGGATTTTACATTTGGTTCCCCTGAATTTATTAACTTCTACCGAATATTTTCGAGAACTGTAGGGAGCTAATATACCTGTGGGTATATTATTTCCAGAGTGTATTATTCATGTGCTTTTGACCAACTTATAAAATGAAATTTCCTACTTTTTCCATATAGGTATGGAACTACCCACATTCTTTTGCAAATTTTAATACAATAGCGATATAATCAATTTTCAATATTTGGATAACAGGCTAACTCGTAGGAGGTTGGTTAAAGTTAGTCTTTGTTTTGGTAGTCTGCACGAGCATCAATGATAACCTGGCCGTGCGAATAAATTGACTGTGGTGTAAATGGGGGCTTATATTTATTGGCAGAAGCATCCTCGTCCCTAGGACCTAGCTATTTGGATAACGGGCTAACACGTAGGAGGTTGGTTAAAGTTAGTCTCTGTTTTGGTAGCCTGGGGCCGGTTGTTGAAAGCTGTGTTAGTGCTAACGCTGCATGGGTTAAATTTTAATCCTGTGTTTTGGTTTAAGTTCTTCTGAACCACTGTTCGTTTTAAAACCTTTACAAAATATGGCTTTGTCTGTCCAGAAAATATTTATGGAAAAAGATATTCAACTTTGTAAACAAGCGATTAAAAAAAATAATGTAGAGATTTTGCTTTAACCCATGGTCAAGCTAACCGGCTTTTGAACAAGCGATTAAAAAAAATATTGTAGAGATTTGCTTTAACCCAGGGTTAACCGGCTTTTGAACAACCGGTCCCTGCGGAGCACAAATAATGGCCTGGCCGTGCCAATAAATTAACTTTGGTGTAAATGGGGGCTTATATTTATTTCTTGCATGCATGTTGGAAGGAGGTGTTTTGTACCTTAGAAGATAACTCGTAAGGATAAATTTGCACGGAAGTTGTTAACAGAATGAATATTAACGGAAGTATTTAGCAAGCGCTCAGTAAGTTTCTCTTGTGTGCGTTATGCTCAATGATTTATACTTCATGATTTTTTAACGCAATATTATTTCAACTGCTTTTATAGTTACCTCCAAATATCTGGAATTCTTCACCGTCTCTATGTAATTTGAAAACAGAAGGAATAAATGTTAATCCATGTTGGAAAAGCAGTAACTGAGTGATTCATAAATCTTTACTGACTTACGATCTTTCACAATTGCCAATTGCCCATTAAGTTGCGACACACCTTGTGTGATCTGTAAATTATTTTCATACATATAGCTAGATATAATTATTGTATGAAGAATTATTTGCAGCGCGGGTAAACTTAAATTTTGGGGTTAAATCTTTTCTTCACAACCCTAAAAAGTAAAAATGCACAGAGAATAACGGGCGAAAGTTGGAATTTTTAACGACTATCGAAATTTTAGTCGGTGCTCTAATGAGCGTTAGTAGCGTCATTGCTTACATGCAAAGGCTTTATCCTTTTCATGCTTAGAGATTTAGATGCAAACGCTATATGATTTTAGTTTCTAGCTTTCACACCTTCAAAGTTTCCGTCTTCTTTGCCGTCGCTAGGAACAAAAAGGAAATACTAAATTTTATTTGCCTTTTGGTAAACAGAAACTTTGTCGTTTATTAAAATTTAGGACTTACTACTCTCTAGTTTGTCTACCCTTTCTTTCACTGTTGTTTGGAAATCTCGTAATTGCTCAGACACAGTGTGCATAATCTATATAAGTTAGGAAGATAATGACTCAGTTATGACAGCGTATCAGTATTAAGGTTTACTGTATTATAATTTGTGCATGATGTTCCTATAAATTTTCAGCAAAAATTAAGTCACGTTATATGTTTGTAGTGACATATGGAGTTCATCAATAAACGATGAAGAATTACACTCAACTCAATTACTCTAAAATTACACCCTCAACAAGGAGAGATTTGACCTGAGATCGGACATCAAAAGTCCTAAAGCGAGATTGGACACGAAGGCGGACGGATTTTGGTTACGTGGAGCAGCTGCAATTTTCGACGTAAGCGTGACGCACGTAAGTCCAAACGTAACGAAGGCCGGTCAACCCAGGCGATTTTAAAGGAACATGAGAACGAAAAGAAGAGAAAACACCAACAGAGAGTTTTAGACTTTTAAATCGGCTCTTTTACTCAACTCGTTTTTGGTTCTTACTTTTGGTTGAGCAATCAGACTATAAAACAAGCGTTTATTGCCGAATTTACAAAAAAATTCGGTTGCTAAGGTCGTTCGCAAAAAAGCAAGAAACGTATATAAAAGAGCGAATTACTCAAAAGTAAGCAAAGAAAACCACTAAAACGGGGCAAATAATAAGAGAAAAATGTCCATGGAACACAAAAACACCAAATTAGAAAATTTGAACATTTCATGAAATTCTAGTAGTGTATCACCCCAGCGGCTTTGGTTATAAAATATTCATATGTGGTAACACCGCCCTGTGCCGTAAATAGGGGTGACGTAGAAAATAATTACCTCTTTTTTTCTCTATATTTCTAATTTTTTCTTCTTTTTCAAATTTTAATAAAATAGTGATATAATGAATTTTCAATATTTGGATAACAGGCTAACTCGTAGAAGGTTGGTTAAAGTTAGTCTTTGTTTTGGTAGCCTGAGCATCAATAATAGCGTAGCGTGCGAATAAATTAACTGTGGTGTAAATAAGGGGGCTTATATATATATGGGCAGAAAAAGATAATTCGTTACCATGCATGTTGGAGGGAGGTGTTTTGTACCTTTGAACATAACTCGTAAGAATAAAATGTGGACGGAAGTTTTTACGGAATGAATATTAACGGAAGTATTTAGCCAGCGTTCAGTAGGTTTCTCTTGTGTGCGGTATGCTCAATGTTTTATACTTCATAATTTTTCAACGCAATATTTTTTAAACTGCTCTTATAGTTACCTCCAAATATCTGGAATTCTTCACCGTTTCTATATAATTTGAAAAAAAAAGGAATAAATGTTAATCGCATGTTGCATGGAAAAGCAATAACTGAGAGATTCATAAATCTTTATTGACTTACGATTTTTCAAATCCTCTAAGCTCTCTTTCACAATTGCCAATTGCCCATTAATCTGGGACACACCTTGCGTGATCTGTAATTTATTTTCATACATATAGCTAGATATAATTATTGTATGAAGAATTTACAGCGCGGATAAACCTAAATTTTGGGGTTATATCTTTTCTTCACAATCCTAAAAGGTAAAAATGCAGAGAGAAGCCTGGGTGAAAGTTGGAATTTTTAACGACTATCCGAATTTCAGTCGGTGCTCTAGTGAGCATTAGTAGCACCCTTGCTTAGATGCAAAAAGGCTTTATCCTTTTTATGCTTAGAGATTCAGATGATCTTAGTTTCTAGCTTTTACACCTTCAAAGTTTCCGTCTTCTTTGCCGTCACTAGGAACAAAAGGGAAATATTAAACGTTTATTGCCTTCTCGTAAACAGAAACTTTGTCATTTACTAATATTTATGACTTACTACTCTCTAGTTTCTTTACGCTTTCTTTCACTGCTGTTCGTAAATCTCGTAATTGCTCCGACACAGTGTGCATCATCTATATAAGTAAGGAACATAATGAATCAGTTTGGACAGCGTGCCAGTATTAATGTTTACTGTATTGTAATTTGTTCACGATCTTCCTATTAATTTTCAGCAAAATTAAGTCATGTTATATGTTTGTAGTAACATATGGAGTTCATCAATAAAAGATAAAGAATTACACTCCCCTCAATTATCCTACAATTACCCTCTTAAAGTGCCTATATCACTGGTGGGATTTTTATGCATTTGAAAAGAACGTAAAAAGTTAGTTAATATATTAAAAAAGTTTTTTGATTTAGTGCAACAATTTCGAAGATACAAGCCTCTAAACTACTTGCGGTTCCTGAGTCCCAACCTCCTGGGTTTAAACACGGCTATTCAATTTGAAACTGCCCATTGTTTACAGGAGCCTGGGACTCAGGAACTGCAGGTAGTTTAAAGGCTAATATTTTCAAAATTATTGCACTAAATCAAAAAAGTTTTTTAATATATTAACTAACTTTTTACGTTCTTTTCAAATGCATAAAGA